GGCCATGGAGCATCTTCTGTTGCATCCAAAGATCTTAGCCTCAGTGCAAGGTTAGTTCTCACTGCAGGTATATTTTGTGTTAGGTCGGTGCAAACTGTTAAAATAGTTTGAGCATAGTATTTGCTCGCATACTATGGTGGTTAAACAGAGATAAAACACATAGGCACTGTCATGGATTAATGCATCTATAATTTCGTTAATCTGGTGAACTGGAATGTATCAGAAAACTAAACACTTCAGAGCTATCAGTCTCATGAGAACTTTTTCATTGAATGTTGATCTTAAACAGGATAAATCAAGACGAGAAGGCTGATGTTTATGACTTGGGATTAATATTGCTCGAAATCCTTTTGGGGAGATCATTGACCTCTGGGAATGATGTAGATGTTCTACAAGATCAGGTGACTGATATTTTTCTTTGGTTTTTATATTTAGTCTGCAGAGAAACCTTGTCCAACGCTTTTTGTCCTCATCATTAAAAGCGTCAATGAACTCTTCCTAGTTCCAGATTCCTGACAATGAGATCCAAAGCATCTCTTCCTGTCCTTTTCTATTGGTAGATTTTCTTTCAGTTCAATATTTCTGCTTGAAAATTATGCAGCTGCAAGCAAGCATTACACGTGATGATGCTGCTCGAAGGAGCATGGTTGATCCAGCAGTGAGAAGGGTATGTTCATATCAATCACTAAAAACAATGATGGAGATCTGCGTCAGGTGTCTGCTCAAGAACCCTGCAGACAGACCTTCAATCGAGGATATTCTGTGGAACTTGCAGTTCGCTGCTCAAGTTCAGGATTCCTGGCGGGGAGACTCCCAGAGCAGTGAAGGGTCTCCAGTGGCAGCTACCCACCAACCGCAATTACATATTACCATTCATTAGCAGTTTCTTTTAGGTTCTTACAATTTCTCCCATCATGAGATCTTAGTTACTATTTCACTTTATGGTATGGTCTTGTCCTTCGATACGTGAATGTGGTGATGAAATTTTGGTCTGTATATGATACATCTTCAAAGGCTATCTCTTTCCTCCCCAGTTGTTTCCGCAGTTGAAACAACAGAACCTCGTTAGTCACTAGTTTTTTATTTATTTTTGTCGCACAATAATTTGAATCCTCACATCCCTTGCCATCCAAGTTACATGATCACAACAACTAACATTATACTGCAGAAAACGATCTGTAAGAGAATTGATACCCGGCAAACGATACATCCCGGCTGTTTCAGCAGGCATCATTGAAGGGTCTCTCCCCTCTATCAAAGTTTTCTTGACAGTCACTTTAGATTGCTGCTTCCTTCCCTCGGGGAATAAGCTCTTCATTCAACCAAAAAGAAAATTTACAATTTCCCTTGTGTAATACATACATGATCATGGCCAACTGCCACCCTCTTTTTCCAGCACAGTAGTGGAAAATTTCACAGCACCAGCCGTGCATATATCGAGGTTAAAAGAAGTGGCATCAACTAGAAAGGAATGTTCCGCCTGCCCCCATCTCCGAAGGCATCGACACTTTTCGGACCACCCTCAAGCCATGGCAGCTCGTGATTCAAGTCGAGAACAAATGAATAGAATAATTACTATAACATCACTTTGAAAATACGCGTCTTAGCGTTCCTGAAAAAGATTCAAATTAGTTATCATGTTAGTTTCGCTGTTTACTCCAATAAAACCTCCTCGGTCAGAATGGGCGGTGACGCTTTGGATCCGCAACTTTAACCATCCAAGACGGTTCAACGTGCATCCACCACTCTACTGGGAAGTAAAGTAACAGAGCCAAAGTCACGTGGTAAAACTATTGTAGTCATGCCTTTAATTACTATGAATTATAATAGTAATTTGATGGTTAAAAATCACACAAACAAGGGTATTTTACTCTTTCTATAATTCTTGTATAATAAAATTACTTGATGATTCTTAAAAATAAAATAAAAATTAACTTTGGTCCAGGGACATGTGCAGCGTAGCTACGATGTTTCCCTTGGAAGAAAAAAATTATTAGGCTTGACTTTAATATTAGTGGACGCAGCGAATCAGCCACTCCACTGTTTTTTTTCTTCTTTAAAAACGGTGGCATAGTGATTGCATATAGTTTCATAACATGATCAGAACATGTTAATTCTAAGAGAATTAGAGCATCCATAAAAATCTTTTCTGATAAACAAATTCTTTGATTAGGCTTACAAACAAAAGCTGGAACCAATGATTGGGAAAGCAGGTTGTACTGCATTCCCAAATTGGGATTGATTTCTCATCAGCCATTGACTGTGAAATGCAAAAAGCCCACAAGCACAAACATTTTGGTAGATTTTAAATGGAAGTGCACCAGCATCAAACCAACAGATATCCTTGCAAATATTCGAGCATCAAATAGAACTCGATAAATATGCAAGGCATCCATCTGACAAACTTGCAAGCGAACTCCCAAAAGATCACATTCCTAACAGCCATTCATAACATTTGAATTTTGTATCCAAAAATTACAAAGGAGAGCTTCCTTAAAACCATCTCTAGGTGCGAGGTTCAACTCAAAAAGCAAATATTTGACAACTACAAACAGCACTTCATATGAACATGATACAAAGAGAGGTAAAGGAGCCTTGCACGATAGATAAATCAAAGATGATTTGGAAAAAAAAACAAAAAACATTCAGAAAATCAACAACTTCCAGTCAAGTTGTCTAACAGACACAAATAAATCATCCAAATAGAATCCTCTAAGAACAATGCACATCATCAATGCATATTACAGAGTACAGCACTACCTAGAAGTTCAGAGAAAAGCACTTCAGGTCCACCACATCACTCTTATTGCTTTCTGATATGAACCTCAGTCAGCAGTCCAGCTCTGCTCCACAATTTCACGAACTCTGCGATTGTATTCCCGCTTATTCTCACTGAACATGCGAGCGGCTTCAGAGTTTGCTGGGGAATTTGGGTTTGGATCACAGAGCAGGGACTGGCAAAAAAAAACAGAAGAATCTTTTGTTAGTATTTACAAAATCACTTGTAAAATTTCAAAAACAATCTGAAGAGACAATAATATCAATGACAATTTGCATACAATCACAACAGATACCATATCAACAAATGTGGGAAAGCCCATACAAGAAATCAAATTATAATTACATCAATGAGATAAAATTATAAATAAAGGCCATTCATTATCTTTTGTCCTGATGAAATAGATTCGCAAATTGCAATCAACTTTTTTTCTCCATAAACAGGTGCTCATCAGTTCCGAATCAACAACTTATTGATTGCAGACACCAGATACTTATCATTGCACTGAACAATTCCATTCAGTAATCCGTAGTGAGCAGAGAAATTAAAAAATTGAGGCTTATCATACATGTAAAAACATGAGGTTATTTAAGGACTTGAACAAATGCTTAATTTTCACTGTCAATTCAAAACAAGTTTGCCACCCTAGAACTGAAAATCAGTGACCATCCTCCTCAAACAGTGTCATGAAGGGACGGTCAAGGTTCATACAATGAATCAAACAAGCCAATCTTCTTCTGAAAATATTCTGAAAATAAAATAATCAAATGATTGTCATTTCAGGATGCTAACAACTTTTGTAAAAGAACACAAAAAATTGACAAGGCTTCTCAAGAGCAAAAAGAAAAGGTTTGGAGTGAGATTATTTGAATTAATCAACTGAAAAATATATATGCTTAAGTTTATGAACCTGAGCATGGTAAAGAACAATCCAAAGAACAGCAAATAATAAGATGTGAAAGGACAGCAATTTAAAACTATTACTAAAGCTATATTTTTTAGGCCTTCAATATTTTTTCACCAAAACTATTATGAAACCATGTCAAAGCACCAACACACCCCTTCTAGCATGGTATATCCTAAAAACTTCATTTTCCAAGCCCAGGCACTCAAATCCATCACTGCTGACAGAACTAGTATTGTGCTGTTTAGTTGTCATTTGGAAATACTTTTAAAAATTGTTAAAGCCAACAATTCATGTCATCAGTCTACTTGGACTCTATTGTTTATGTGATAGCCCAGACCATGGTCACTTCCAAGTTAGAACAATGCAAACTGTAGGTGTATTATAGTGCAATCAGCTTGAAAATAAGCCAGGAAGCCAGGTGATGTAAGTATTTACTGGTCAAAGTTTTCCACTATTAATGTTAGCTTCTTAATGACATTCAAAGCAAACAGATCTGGGAATATATGTCTGCACTATGAGACAACCATGAATGTTGACTCTTTCATGATTCATAACAAACTTTCAGCACATATCAATGAAACAGAAAGGAAACTTTGAACAACATGAAGGGAATCTATGATAGCAAAGTAACAGCCATCATCTGCTGATTGTTCCATTTATGAAAATTCTTGGAGAGATGACCTCAACACCCCATGCTTTCATGTTTTTTTTTTCAAGTAGCTGCGATTAAGACTTATGGATTGTAATTCAACCCCTGAGACTCACTATCTAGAAATTTCCTAAAATTTCTCAACAGATAGTAGCTCAAATGTTGCCTATGGGTTCTCAATTGCAAAAGTTGACCACGTGTATAGAGATAGTTAAACATATCATGCAAAGCAACTAAAGTGCAAAAATAATAATTCTTTATTACCAATATAAAAAAGAAACAAGCTGTACAAAGTCAAACCTGGATGGATGTTAGTATAGCAGCAACATCATATATGGGACTCCACTGATTTTGTAAAATGTCTAAGCATATACTTCCATCTGCATAAACTAGTGATACCCATAGAAACAAAGTCAAACAATTGCCAATCCTCCAAAATAAGAAGACAATCTTTACAAAGAAAAATTACATGGTAGTTAATCCCAAAAAAAATAAAAGAAAAATATTTGTATGAAAGAAACTATACAAGTAACGAGTTCACTGATTTATTGAATGCAAGTAAATATACAAGAAGGAAATCAACATACTATTTGGATGAAACATTCGAGAGACAAAGCGGACTGTTGGAGGTTTATTTGGATAATCCTCTGTGAATTGAAGAGTCAACTTAAACGTCCCTGAAGAAGATTCAGAAAAAGTTACACCATAAAGAAAATGCTATAATGAAAATGGTATTCACCTCAAATAAGCTTTAGACACAAAACCACAAGCTTTTAATCAACACTTAAATTGCAAATATTAAGCACCCACGTTCACACATGTATCCAATGGCCAACAATGCCCACATCCAAGAAGCCATTAATTGCAATAAACACATCACCCTTTAATGAAAAAAAGAAAAGAAAAGAGTCCAATCACTACCTATTCACATCTGCTTAATCATACAAAAACATAAAAAATCCATACTGACACGCGTCTAAAACTCATGAATCAAGAGGGATGAGTAGTAGCTTTCAGACTGACTTCCCCTAATTTCCAATCGCCCAACTGTACAGCCAAGAATATTTACTTAATTTCCAAAAGCTATCAGTTTGCGGTAATCCAGATCAAGATTTTTTGAGATTAGGAGTAGAAGTCATGATCTTAAGGGTGATTGTACCTTTTCAGTGTATACCATCTAAATTATGATTGAAACTCTTAAAATTGCAGGAATTAAAGCTACCCAGTTAAAAAAAAAATCAATTAATTAACAATCAACCATAATCCATCATTTAATAACAAAAGAAACAAAAAATAAAGTTATAAAGAGTGATAAGAAAACTGAAGAAGAAGCAGGAATCAGAATTACCCACCTCCATCCCAAGGAGTATCATCAGGTCTACAAAAAAACAAAAAACAAAAAACAAAAATTAGAAATCAAACAAGGGAAGAGAAGAAAGAAAGAAAGAAAGAAAAGGGTACCCAAAAATAACAGCGTTCCAGAGCATGATGTTGTTGTCTTGAGGGGCTCCACTGATACCAGCAGGTGGATCCTGCTGGAGCCTCTTGAAATCCCTCATCAACCTCTTCCTTGCTGGGGTTGACATCTTTCTTTTTCTGTTTCTTATTCTTGTTTGTTGTTTTCCTTTCTAGATAGAGGAAAAAAGACAGACAGACAGAGAGAGAGATCTGATGATGAAGATGATGTGAGGAAATCTATCAAAGATCCATGAGAGCGAGGAGGAGGAGGAGGAGGAGGAGGGTTTGCTTTTTCTTTTCTTCTCACTTCTTTTTTGTGGGGCTGGCGTTTTGAGTTCTTCGCTTGCGTCCTTCGAGAAACAAGGTCTTAAAGCTCGTCCAAGATTTCTGTGTTGTCATTCTTCACACATAACTTTAAGGTTGTTTTTCACTTACGTCCTTGAGCTTTTTTTTATTATTTTATTTTACCTTTTAATTTTCCTAAATTACACTTCTTTTTTTCAAAATTGATAAACTAAAGCTAGCATTGCCTGTCTATCAAATTTAAGGCTTTACAATGAAATAAAAGAAAATACGAGCACTTTCAAATGCAATTTTAAAAATAATCATGGTCAAATTATTATAATCCATTATGACAATAGAATAATAATAGAAAATTATTTGCAGTTCATAACGATAATAAATAATAAAATTATTTCAATTATGGAGCTATATATAATTGATATAATTGATGAGATCATTAAATTTTAACTATTTTTGAAATAGTGAACAACCATGATGATAAAAAAAAAATTACAAAATATAAAGAGAATATCCTATATTTTTATTTAAATAAATAAAATGCACTTGATAAATCTAGTTCTATATAAATCTACAAATGAAAATCATATTAAAATAAATAAATAATAAAATAGTTCATATATATATATATATATTAAATGATAAATATTATTTATATATGTATTTTATGTAAATATTAAGGTTTACATATTTCATATTGTATTAAAAAATCTAAATATTTTATAAATATATATTTTAGGTCAAATCCAAACAGATTTTAAATCAGATTTAACAATATTTATATTCTATCTATTATCCATCATATTTTAAAAATATTCATGCTTTGAAATCAAGTCAATATTTATTTTATTCTATTAAATTGTTATATTTGATTATAATACATGGAGAATCTTCTCCTGTAAATAATGGGAGAGGCATCTTTTGCATGGTCCCAAAAAAAAAAAAAAAATCAAGAGCAAGTGGATGGATAAAAACATAATTATATGTGAGCCATAAGAATCTGCAGTTCTATTTTGCAGCAGTGGAAAAGATTCGAATTGTCTTTATGATTACTGTACACGTGTAAGACAAAAGTACTGTACACGTCTACACTATTTATTTTTCTTCATGACATGCGCAAAATATTAATTAATGAGGTATTGCTGTATCAAGGAAGAAATCAACACTTGTTTGATGATTGATTTTATAAAATAAAATTTATTTTTATTGATTTAGAATATGAAAATGAGATTAAATATAAAACTGAAATATATATTAAGAGATTGAATTGAATGAAAGGGGAAAAAATGGCTAGTGTGTGTGTTCCTGTGGAAAGGGCAGTTGCACTTGGGTGGCACGTGCCCACCGAACTTTGACCGTGGCTTTCTTCTGTATCATTTTCTTCGTTAGGGCAGCCCCTGCGATCCCTAACCCAAGAATTTAAACTTACAAATTTAATGACATAATTTTAAATCAAGGAATAAGGAATTTAGATCAAAATTAATTTAAAATACAGGAATTTTCTATTTATATAGTTAGAAATCATGAATAAATAATAAAAAAATAAAAAATACTAACAAATAATCAAAGCTTTAACTAGGTTAAAAGCATTTCAAATCAGAAAGCTAAAAAAAAAAGTTAAATTAAAAAAAATATTTTTTATAACTTTTATTTTTTTCTTTTAACAATTCTATCGGTGTAGGTAAATTTTTTATTTATATAGCAAGAAATCATGAATAAATAATAATAATAATAATAAAACAAAAATACCATCAAATGATTAAAGATTTAACTAGATTAACACATAAATAACAAGAAAGGGGCATTTTGTAAATATGATAAAAACAATCTTTCTCCCTCGGCTAATGGTTTTTAAGGGAAATGAGAGGGTTTTTTTTTTTTCCTCTTATCTTTCCTAGTTTTTTTTTTATATATATATTAATAAAACTTGAAGTAGTTTAGGAAAAGTTTAGCGAGGGATGAATCAACTAAGTGAGTTCTAGAAAAAGAAAGGGAAAAAAAGATGGAAGTTATGGTTAGAGTGAGAAAGAGTGATTTTGAAACAACAAGGAACGATTCTTGGAGTTGTGGATGAAAATCTTCATTTTATATATGCAAGTTAGGGTTTATTTTGAAATAGTATAGGAAGTGAAAATTTGTGTATTGATGGATTGATTTTAGTTTAAATGATACAGTTAAGATGAGAATCTCCTACAACACACTAAAGCTTGAACGACATAGACTTCTTATTTCCACTGCCACAGTAATATCAGAAGAAAATTTAAAATAAAATATCGCTTTCTTGGAATTTTCAAGTGCTCGCTATATGTTAGAGAATTGTGATATTAGAAATTTAGTTAACTTGTGTTGATATTATTGCTTTAATGGTGTTAATAAGAAAAAAGATTGGTTTGGGTTGTGGTGTTATACAAATTATTAAGAACTGTGTTATTGCGGCTAAATTAAAATGATGAAAACTTGCTAAACCGAGTTAAATAAGTGATAATGTTTTTGTAGTATTGAAAGAGGAAATGATGTGGATATATGCTTATAGGTAAATTAGAACATGAAAATGAAATGTTAATGCCAATTATGAAGAAACATTTAGATAAATGCTAATGCATGGAAGATCTTAGATGGAAAGATGATTGTTAACTTGTTGATGCTTTAGTTTGTAGGAGGTTCGTCTAGAGTGGAGCCTGTCTTTTTAAGAAAAGGGCTTTCCTTTACCTCTTGAAATTCATTATTTTTCTAAATAATAAAATAATGCTAGTTCATGTATAAAATTGCTAGTTATCAAAGTAAAAAAAAAAAAAAAAGATTCAATATCAAAGGATTAGGATGGGATAATGGAATTCCAAGAATAAAAATTATCTTCAAGAGTGAGATAATAGAATCCTAAAAATAATATTACTTTCAAAGTGTGATAATATAATGATTTGGATAAATTACCTTTTTTTTTGGATCTTAGGATTATTATAATGATGGATTATAATGTCTTTAATGCTAAGGGTAGTTAAAATTGATTATAATGACTTTAAGGGTAATGAGTGATTTTAATGCTCTCATGTGGAAAACAATTATATTGATTGAAAACAATACCTACATTATAAAAAACTTGTAATCATTAAAGATAATATCCTTACAGAGGGGATGATGAATAAGGAACAAATCAGACCATAATGGTAAGGATTCAAAATAACCACAAACCTAGTGACATGATGAACTTGAAATGGTTATACTATGTATTAGAAAAATATTGATGATGTGTAGTAATCAAGCTTTCTCTTTGTGTTAAATATCATAGATTGTATAATACTTATTCCATGAAATTATTGTGTTCCATAAGTTCTTTGCATACGCCTTCTTAATTATGATCCGATCATCTTTTCTTCTTCTTTGCATACGCCTTCTTAATTATGATCTGATCATCTTTTCTTCATTAATTTATGAAGACATAATAGGTAACCAAACACTTTTGGTATGTAAATATTTGTAATATTGATAATTAAGTAATTTTAACTCCTAGGTAGTATGGTTGGTAAATCAACTTTTGATTTTCTTTTAACATTTAGTTATATTGTATTTGAAATCCTATATGGCTTGTTTAATATGTTATTTTATGAAAAGAAATTATGTACATGTATTGATGGGTACTGAGCTTAAGGTCACTATGAAAGATTGTTCAATATTAAGCAATATATTGATGAGATGTGATTATCATTATACTGCAGAAATTAACATATAATAGTTTTTAGGTAATGTCCTATGTAAGGGAGATGTTGCTAAAATTTTATTAAATAACTAAAAAATATTATTAAAATGAAATAGTTTTTGCATGATGACAAGAACAACTAGTAAATTAACAAGATATTAGCTTTTAAGGATGGAAGGGCGAAACAAGTTATATATAAAAAAAAATTACTCATTTTTATGATCATGAATTAATGACATGTTTTAAATATGAATGAAATGTATGGATCATTATAGTTGATACAAATCATAGTTATGATTGAATAAACTTATTGAAATTATGAATGTGGCTAATAAATATGACATCATCATTATTATTATATAGGATGGTGAGAATAAGAGCAAGAGTTTAGTCTAATTTGCTGCTAGATAAGGTCAAGGATAGGGTTTATAATATTGAGAATGTTTAGTTAAAAAACAATTATAGGGTTTATAATAGTAAGGATGCTTAGTCTTATTCTTTAGTGGTGCTTCTTCTACCAATATTAAGGGAGATAGCCTCACTAGTTTATTAGGAGGCTATAAGATCTATGGGAGGACCCTAGATTACGATACCATTCGTACTACCTGTTACACAACTAAACTCTGAATATTTTGAACAAATGATGAAAGCAATGATGGATAGCATTATAAGGGTCATAACCAATATTAGTAGAGAGAGCCCTCTTATTTTAGTCTAGTAGGTGGAAAGTATGAGAAAATTAGGGTGTGTTGCCTTCATAGGGATGAAAAATGCAAGAGTGGCAAGTTCATATAATAGAGGAACACCTTTCTCAAATTCCAGTACTGGTGGAAATCTATATAAATTATGTATCTCAATTGCTACATGATAATACACAAACTTAGTGAATTATAATTAAATAAAGAAGTAGGGAAATGCTGACATAAGATGACTTTAAAATAGCGTTTGAGA